GTTCAATGTGGTACATACATTAAACATAATAGGACCTTGATGCACGTCTTTTATTTTCGGATCAAGTTCGAAATGGCCGACTGGCGGCCATTTTGTTAAAGAATTCAGTTCTGGATCCGTATCCAAGACATGTCTGGATTGATCAAGTTCAAACTTCACACACACATGGTACATCATGTCACAAATAGATATGTGCATTTGTTTCATGATCTGCTTAACAATAGCGGAATGATGGCCATTTTAAGGCCGAAAATGCATCAAAATCACGTATTTTCACAATTCCAGAACCGGATCTCAGTCATGCATGGATGGATTTTGTTCAGATTTAGCACAATGTGTTGTACATATGCAAGTGCATTTCGGTCATGATCTGCTTTGAATGTATATGTCACTCAAATATGAACGGAACGGGGACGTGTCATTGACAATGACTTGTTGAATAAAAATTCAAACCAAAAAGGGATTCAGATGCACAGCACAGAAACACATGATTAGGAAAGAAACACTATGATCAGTAAAGCCTGTACTTACCGACAGAGAAGCTCATTTATCTTGGAGACAAACACAGCACTATTACCATACAAAGCTCTCTTCACTATGGGTGATGATGGAAGCTGTAGAAATTTGAAGCCATGTCTGGAATAGAGTCCACTTGTCTATGAAGAAAGAGAAGTTGCTATGACATCATTATCCATATAAACAGCACTGCTGTACAATCATTTCCATGTTGGAATAAACAAAATTCATCATATTTTCAAGCTAAAAAAACATGCCCTTAAGGGTAATAATAGTTGATACACTTCGATTATAAATGATGCAATTCACACATGATTTCAGACAAATATATGCTACATTGTGATGATTTGCTCTGCTCAGCATGAGTGTAAAATGACCTGGAGACGTACAAATGCACACAACATATACGCAACACATACATTTAAGTACACAGAAGATGCAGCTGTATCCATTGTATGTTCACTAAGAGCAAAGCTCTAAAATCGGAATACAGTTGTACCATTTTAGAAACCTTAATACATGTTTTGGCTGAATCCAGAAATTGCATTAACAATCTAGATCTGGAACAGCTTGAGACGAGATCGGTATCAATAGATTTGTCTAAATGACATTTTTCAAAGTGTTTGACAGTAATTTGAGAACAAATTCTCATAATTACACAGAGTGCAGTCTAAACAGTAAGAATACATACCACATGGAAGAAATCTAATACATAGCTCATTAACAATGCATTGTTCTTTTCAACTTGTAATCCAACCACACAGATGTTGTCAACAAAGTTAATAAATTCCACAATTGTATTGTCAGTGCTGATTTGCTCCGTTTGTTGTCCAAATATGGTACTACAAGAGGAAAACACACAAACATGGTCAAACATTCAGCTGCTTCACTATGGGTGATGTAATATCTAAAAGCAATTAAATTGAAAATATTGTCACAGAAAGAAGTTCACCAAAGGTACCTATACAATGAACATTCATTGTATAAAACATCAAAGCAATCAGGCCAGTAGTTTTTGAAGTCCAAAATAGCATTTTTTAACCAAAAATGACAAAAATATTCACCAAAATTAGAGAATTGAAATTATCCTCACAAAATGAAAAATCAACTCAAGGTACCTTTCTGAACGTTTTTTAAGAAATCAAAAATGCAAAGTTTACAGTGGCGACAATGCCAACAGACAATCAGTTATATGAATAGTTTTGCTCAATTTTGTTGACAGCAAAAATAACTAAATTAAACACGTTAAATCAAACAACATAAATCGCAGGGATTATTATTTTTCGACCCCCAAATGTTAGAGAGGGATCTCTATTTCGGTCTTGGTCCCATTTTTAATAAAAGATAGCATATTTGGAATATTATATTCTAAATCATTTCCAATTTTGTGAATTGATGGTTATACCATGCAGATATAAAAGCCACAGTCATGGCACCACTTCTTGTTCCATGTAAATCATTAAGAATATTCATATATTTCACAATAATGTGTTACAAATCTGCAGAACAGAAATGACCACTGAATAAAAGTGTAGGCAGTTGTGACAACATATTCAACCTAGTGAGGCAGATGCATTTTTCCCCCCAGACAAATACCATACCACACGAGAATATGTTAATCATTGTGTTCATTGTTACAGTAATTTGGCTTTATTGTTTAACCCAAAATTATATATCGTAATTGGCCCTACTGTACTCTATAATTCACAAACAAGTTTTGACTTTATGCAGTCATTATTTCATGCATACCGTTCACAGCAATCTCATTTTAAGGGTTCATCACTACTAATATTAATAGCTTATGAATTCACATCAACACCTTCAATGCAGTACAGAGGCAGAGTCGTTATATAATAACAACTTTCTCTCTCATTCTTGTGTATCATACTCACTCATTCAACAGTATGGTACTTTCAGCGATGTTGGTCTCTTGTTGCTTAGCGACTGCCCGTCGATGTCTGGGTACTTCTACGGACATCAGGTTTCTTAACAACTCAGTGAAACACCACAGAAGTAGACATTTGAAGTAGACACCAGAACAAAAGTACAACTTACGAAGTGGCTCCAAAAGTAAGTCATTCATTTCTAGGAAGAATGAAAACAAATCCAAAGAAAACTTAGAACTCCTGTGTGCCAAGGCAATTGGAGGCATGAAATGTTTATAGGAAAAATTTTAAATTTAACACTCAAGACTATTAAATACAAAAAAGTTGTCAGTTGATATAGGCTCAGGCATTAGGATTCAAAATGTGACACCAATCTGATCTACAGTGAGTTAGTAATACTATGAGGTTATTACAAGGATACCTCAAAGTATGCACGAAGACAGTACAGCGGCAGTATCGACCGACACGCAGCGGAGGTCGATGCAACAGCGTACTGTCTGAGTGCATATATACTTTGATGTATCGTTGTAATAACCTTATTATTATAATCTTTTCCTTCCAAGGATACATGATGGGAATGCCGAAATCCAAAAAGTTTAGAACAGAATTCACGAACTTCTTTGTATGGAGTCCGGTCAAACCCTAGTGGCAGCCATGTTTGTTTTTATTATTAGATGACGCTTATGCACGTAATCATTCCATATTTGGAATTTGCTTTCAAATACCCAAGGAATGTGCTGTAAGTTTAGTGTGTATGCAAGGGGGATTTTCTATGCAAAAATGTGGTTAAACTTTTTTAGCCTAATCTTAATGAATTGATTGCTTGTGAAAGTTTGGTATTTTTCTTCTGATTTTTAGGAATATTTGTTTAGCTTCAGGCCAGATTCAAGATCGCCCTCATATAGTAAATATCATTGTTAAATTAATTATTATCACTTGTACATTAATATGCATGAATTTCAACCAAAAACTAACCATGTTTATAAGTATCACAGAACTAGGACATTGCTTTTTGTTTTTGATCAAAAAACTTTCGTCAACATTATCAGCGGAAAGTAGAACTATTTTGCGGATAGTGCCTAAAGTTGACTTTGGCACTCAGAGGGTTCAAGTGGTTCACAAGATAACAAGGAAACAGCTAAAAATTGATTATAATTAAGCAAAATAATATTCATCAATTTCAACCAAGAACTAACCCAGTTAGTAGATTATCTAAAAGCACCTATCCCACACTGGATGTAAATCAGACACAACTGAGCATTTACATTAAACTTTTCTAATCACTTTAATACTAGTATTTGCATACGTCACATAGAATGGTTGATTCATCGCACTGCATCAGTGGCACATTGTTGAGGCCAGACTTTTTTTATTCCTTGTTTCTTGAGTTTTTATAAGTCAATTTTTTTGAAGAGGGCGAAAAAAAATAAAATAAATTCTTTTTTTCCATTAAATTTGTGTGATTCTCAAAGAATTGTAAGTGAGATCATTGATCGGAGAGAAGAAATGAAATAAAATTTTATTCAATGTATAACCTGGTTGGCAATGTCACCAATGGTGGCACAATTTTCAGCATTAATGAGGAATTTCTCGGGTTTTTGACGACAGAGTTTCACGGCATGTCACCACAAACCACGCCGCCGCCATGTTCGCCTAGTAGTCTCAAGCAGCACGCAGAGAGGTCAATACCCGAGATTCACTGTCAACCAACGTGCATAAAGTATTTATATTTCATTTCTCGGCTCCTGCTCATTCGGCGAGTTCGCGAAACAAGGGATAATACAAGTCTGGTCTAATGAGCAAAAACACTACATTGCATAACAGTAACTTCAAAACTGCATCATTGCAGCATCAAATAGATACATTAAAGGGCGATGGTCGTCACACAGCGAATTTCATGTAAACAATGTATTTATGAGTCCTATATAGAACACAACTCGAGACGACGACGACCACCATCACCACCACCACTCTTTTAAGTATGTATCAGAATTATAATCTTTACATTGCAAATAAATATTTATGGTGTTTATGAATCAGCAACTAGTTTTTACCTTTGCTTGCTTTAGTGATTGATGGAGAGGAAGGTGCACAAACACATCATGCAAACCATTTAATTTCGCAATAATATAAGCATCCTTGAAACACAGTATAACATATACTTACTTTCAAACGAACATATAGGCATTCTTGTGATTAGATTAAGTATGTGAATGCGGTAATCCAGACCATTCCAAGTATGTAGATATTGATTTAGAAACCATTCACACACAGGGATGCTTTCCTAACAACAAATGAATAGCAGTTTTTTGGGGGGTATTAGTATTTGAATTAATTAAAACAAGAATTTGTTCAAAAACAATGTAAAAGCTACATGCAATTTTAGCAAACCTGGCTCATTATGCGAATTGACTGATCAACCACTGTTGGAAAATTGTCTTTTATAAACAGGTGGTCTTTATATGGAAGTTGATTAACAAATCGTTGAACAAAAATAATGATGATAATTTTCAGTTTCAAGGGCATCAACAAATATTTAAAAGACATGCATGTTTATTTTGATTAAATTGAAATTGTCTCATGTAGAGACATATATAATCATCTTCCATTATTTTGGTCTTTATTCACATGTATTTGACCACACCATTGCAATACAATACAATACAGACAATTTTTGAAACCTGACTGTGGATCAGTCAACTGCAGGAAGCATTCATTACTTTTAAGGTGTATGACATTATTTAATGACATTTTATTTAAATGTAATATTAATATTTTTTCATCTTTATATAGTTTTAAATCTGTACTCTATAATTATTCTCAATTTTATTTTGTTACTTTGTTATTTTGATGTATATCTGCTTATTCTTGTATTTTGTTTGTATTTTCTTTATGTATTGTTTATTTTTTCCAGTTCTGTTAATTAGTTTGCCGGCTGTTGACTGCTCAAAGCTATTGACAGGTGTCCTTATTGAACTCTTACATGTATGTGGTCAAGTCAATGAAAAAGTGAGATAATGGTGGTGATTGGAGATAAAGGTGGTCACTACTAACATGGGTCAGACTGACTAGTAAAAGTATGCAATATGCTGTAATACAGTGCTGCAGTCTATATTTGATCATTTGTTTGTACCATACTTGTAAACCCAGATTGTATGATAGTATAATATACAAATGTGGGTGAGTTTATACCCACTTTATTGTTAATACTTGTATATGGTAATACTGACAGTAATTGTAATTTAACTTACTTGGAGGTGATCTGTAAAATCAGTGATCACTTGCAGTAGAGCTGTAGCTTTAGGATTTTCACCGCTTTTGGGATATGCAATGATTTCTATTGAAAATTAGACCCCAAAACAAACACAGAAATGAGAACACAACCACTTTGGATGAATCTTAACATATGATGTCAGGTGGAAATAATATTTATTAATTATTAATTTTTAGTGAATTTCTACATTACCTCTGTATAGGGATACATGTATCCAGTAACTAAGCCTTGGAGCAATAGTCTTGTCAGGAAACAGTGTCAATACATGGTAGAGATGAGGAGACTGTAGAATAGATGCTATTCGATTGGGAAGCTGTCAACGCAATGTACAAATATTGATTGTTAAAATGTCAACAATCTTTTTATTTACTTTGTTGAAAGTTTACGCCAAAGCAGCTGACCCAGTGTCAGACTCCTCTTCTTTCTCTTAGTAAACTTACCACAACTACATCAATGTTTTGTAGTAACTGTTTGAAATTCTCTATTTGCTCTAACGGCACCATACGCTTCCTAAGAGACTTGACACTTTGTGGCACGCGTTCATTTCTGTCGATAGTTTCAAGTACAGGGATGACATCAAGCTTGCGTCGTTTCCTCTACAAAAACACGCAAAAGATGTTTGTCAGTAGACTATGTATGTGCAATGGTTGGGAAACTCTAGTAGACTATTACAGTTGAACCTGTGTTAGTGTCCACCTGTATACAATGATCACATAGTCACCACTTTTAGGCAGTTCCAAATCATAACATATGAGCAAACTGTGTATAAAGACCACCTGTCTTATGTGACCACTCTTTCAGCAATATTTTTGCAGATCCCTCCCTCTCAAGTCAGACTTATTTGATTTTGATGAAGTCTTTTGGTTGGTCACTATACACAGGTTTGACTGTATTATATAGTCAAGAGTGAATATATTGAATGTTGGGAGTGTACTTGCTGTATCCACTCTTTGTACATTGTATTTGTAGAAATAAGCGATAGACTCACAGGTTGATGGACATCCAATGCTCTAGAGGATGGTTCATTTGCATCCTCAGCTTCATCCTCATCTTCATTCAGTCGTTTATTCTTCTCTTGTACTAAATGAATTATCTGAGCCCATTTCTGATCACTCTGTTTGAAGTAGGACTGATTACCGATGCGGCTAGACACTGTGACCATGTTAGGAGAGTACAGTTTGTAAACTGACAACAGCGCCATAATATGTGGCTGTACTCCCTAGTAGTGCAAGTAATCAAATAATATTTAATTTAGTATTTAATATTGTCATCTGTACTATGGCAATCAATGGATGAATACAGATACAATATAAAGACACAGAAATTGTCTGCTAGCTATCAAACCAACTATACATACTGGCAATAGTTTTGTCTGGGAATACATGAAACACATTTTAATTGCCACAGAAGCTATATTTCATATCGTTTAAGTCAAAATGAAATCCCTCAAAAGTTGAGTCAGCTGTTGACTACTAAGTAGGTTGGTCTTCAAGAAAAAAATAAAATTGTATGTGACTGTTTAAGTGACATCAGACACAAAGGAAATGTTTTTGTTTATAAATTATGGATTATATTTTTCCAAATTTTTTCCGCAATCACTGCAGGGGTATATCAATGTACATACATTTTCTTTCGCATCAATAAATTAGCATAACTAGTTGCATCACAGAAAATCAGTGGTGCATCATATTGGCTTAAGGGGACACACTAATTCGGGATTATGTGACAGGGTAGCCAGCTTTCTGTCACAATGCAATTATTGTCAGTTGCATCTGATAGTGACTTAATCCTTAGAGGCTTCGATGTGCTGTCTCACTGGGTGTAGGTCAATTCATGTCTGGTGTTCCTAGATAGGATTTCAATTCAGGACCTACTGAAGACTTGCCGCAATGACCACCATGCTACCAGTGATCAGTATATGCTCAGAATACTTACTACTTTAGACTGGATATCTAGTAGTTTACGCACACGATATTGTTTCACATCTCCCCTTTGTGTCATAAGATACAACAAACGGCATATATGTACACACTGAAACATAACAAGAGTCGTTACAGTAGTAATTACAAGCTTAAACAAAAGTAAGATTAATGAAACTGAGAAACCTATCAAAGGCAGAACTCAGTAATTACCGGTAATAATAATTGAATAATTAGAGAATTCTAACTCACCAAGATGTCACTGTCTAGAAAAAGGAACAGGATTCCGTAGAGTGAATGCAGTGTGTCTTTATTATCTACATATTCATATATTAAGACCATCCATCTCACAAAAAGACACTGGCAAAAAAATAGTTATGCATTTAATCAATTTAACATATTTATTAAATTATTTCATTAACATTTGTAAATCCTAGCAGTGTGGCAGCAAGTTAGGTTTCTCACAACATTTTAGACCAGACCGGGAACAGATCTATTTTTGGGGAAGGGGGAGGGGCTAAAGCCAAATTTAATATTAATTTAATAATAATAATAACTTTATTACACTACCAAACCATCAGAGGGTTCAGTATGGTAAGTAAAAAGAATTACAAGACTAGGACAATTCTAAATACAATAATAGAAATAAGAATAAAATAAAGACTGAGTTAAAAAATAAATGTTAAAAACAATTACTAGAATGAATACAATTAAAACAAAAACTGATCTAAATAAAGTACTAAATTAATTTAATGTATAACATTAAACACTACATTTGTGTAAATGCTGCTTTAGACCCATATTATACATCATGTGACCTAACGACTGGGATGCTTTACGGGAATAACTGCTCAGACTATGATGTTTTATTTTTCCCAGTCAGCTGACGTTCAAGTGATAATAAAATAAAAGCAATTAATTTACTGATATTTACTATAAGTGTAAACATAAGCAATCAAGGCATGTCAGAGATACAAACTCTGGAATCACATTCATTACTTTGAATCAGATCTAAAAAAACAAAATGATGTGCAACAAGACCAAGATCTAGTTACAAAATGGCAGAAACGCTTGATTTTGAATCTGATGAAACAAGTACGTGTGCATATATGCAACAAGATTTAACATGATCGGTGAAGGCATTTCAGTGATACAGCTCAGAGAAATTCACAATCACAGCAACAATTTGATTGGTTGCGTAGTAGTTCATTATTCAGCAGGATAAAATTTTAATAAAATATGAATAATATGAGCATCTATGCTATAACATAGGTTAGAGATACATTAGATATGTACTTTAGTCATGTCACTGTCCCCTTATGACAGGGACTATGGTTGTAACTTGTATACACACTGCTATGCTATTGATCCAGATGTTAATATAATAATTTATTAAAGTTTAATACCATATGCAGTATGGTACAAATGTAGTATCAAACTTCATTCTACTATCTCCACCATGCGTATGTACTTAAAATCAAACCAAAAAATACAACGCTCTATAAACTACAGACTAGATACTATATACCGGTACTCTACCTTCATATTGTCAGATATGTTTTTCGCCGATAGGCTGGACACGGCAAAAACCACAGCATTATGTGGAACATGTGCAGCAGGGATCAAGGACCTAATAAGGCGAGAACTAACAATTTCAGCTGTAAAACAAAAAGTGAAAAAAATATATCTAAGTAATTTTATCACTGATAAATGAGTAATTACAGGACAATTATGTTATTAATAAACAAAAAAAACAGTGTTTCTGGTAACCCAAACTTGTCTAGATTAGTATGGCCAAACTGGATATTTTCCCGTTTCCTGTTTCTAGCTGCATGTGGGACGAATTCTTTACATGAAAATATGTACATTGTGTCATGTGCCAAAATGCACCTCTAACAATTATGGACCAATATGATCAGCAGCATTTTGTTAGTGTTGATTACAATGCCAAATTAATTAAATGATAATTCCTGATTCACGATTTACCGTCAGACGTGATGTAATTCTATTTGCGCATGTGTAACCTACCTAGCAACGAGCGAGGATAGGACAAAAATATAAAAGTCAAAAGAACACAGTAGACATGCAACTCAGAAGAAGTCAGCGTTTTTTAAAGATAGCGGAGTGTGCTGCTAGAACAACTATTTAAGTCATCTGAGAAATGAGGATTTCCAGTTGAAAAAGACAATTTTTCAGAGAAAATGGAGTGAAATAGAGATGGTATGTGTGTGTGTTTCACAGAGTAAATGTGACCGTGACAACTCCCAAAATACCTGGAAAAAAAATAAATAAAATAGTAGGCTATAGCCAAAGAGAACTTGCATGCTCGTTATTCTTGCTTAGGCAAAACAGTATGCAAATTGTCAGAGACTGGTCCGAGTTAGTTGAAAGATGATGGCAGTCTTATTTCAGGGGATTTTTTCTATGTTGCGAGTTGAAAACATTGATGTTCTGTATATTGCGACTCTGCGCATTAAAGTGCACAAATGATGAACGAGCAAATACTGTAGAATACTTTATTTTCACTTGGAATTTATTTTCGCTATTTTCGCTGAAGGGATGATTCCGTGAAAATAAAATCCGGTGAATATACATTTTTTCCTATATTTTACATTAATCTCATCAAAAATCAGTGAAAATAAATTCTAAGCAAAACGCCCAAAAAGCCTTTTCAGCGAAAATAAATTCCAGCGAAAATAAAGTATTCCACAGTACTATGAATTCAGGAACTGGGAATTAAAAAGTTATTCAAACAAACTTATTCTATTTTTTTTTTTTCAATGATAAAATAAATGGTGTGGTTCAGATCACCCTACCCTACCCTAAAATGTATCGCTTACTTTTTTTGTCAAAACATGAAAAAATGGTGCACACAAGATTACAATGAGACTTGAATGCAACTATAGATTATCAAGAATCTTGGCAAAATTTAAAAGACCTTGCGTAAACACCACGCCATTTAAATGATGTCAGATGAAACAAAAAACTAATAAAAGTTGATCCAAATTTGTACATGTACCCCATGGTTTTTGAATTGCATGTTACCGGAACCGCACAATTTTTTTTTTTTTTTTGGCTTTACCAAAAACACACTATTTAATATATTTGGCATAATTGTGTGAATATTTTTAACTTACTCCATTTTCCTGTGGTAATGCTTTTAACAAGTTTCAGAATATGAGGAGGTGTCAGACCACTGCTCCGGGAGGACTGTTCAATGTTTTCCAATGCTAGATGTAAATTTAGATTTCCTCTATACTTGGCACTTGACCTTGCTGTAGAAAAAAAAGTTGTCAATATATTAAAAACTTAGATCGTATGGATCTACCGGTCATTGGTAGCATCAGACTCATGATCGGTAGACCCAAGTTCAAATCATACCTTAGGCTCGTCCCCTACCCTGGGTGAGTGTGCCACAAACTCAAAGGGAAGGTCAATACCACTGGCCGAGATTAATTCACTAACAAATGAGACTTTGGTGGAACCTTGGTTAAGGTCTGCAGGTGCTTGTGTTCGACCGGGCCTGGTTGACGCCAGGATAGTGCATTAAAATTTCCATTTGATAGAGAGACACAGCCTTGTCATGTAGTCCCAAACATGAATATAACTTCTGTGGCAAAATGTGTCAGCACTTGCAATTTCCAATTACAAAAAAAAAGTCAGGAGAGACAACAGTAATACTCAATGTCCAGAACTGTCGCCTAGCACAAAAACATTTAAAAAAAAAAAGATTGTATGGATCTAATCGAGATTAAATTTTTTCGTGATTATACCTGAATAAATGTCCAAATATATACATCACATACAACATGTTACAGGAAAACATAAATAGTACATCCATGCATAAATGAACTAGAACATAAAAGTTTTCTCGTGCATGTTGTGATTTCCTTGTAAATTTTCAACAAAACGGACATAATGAGTTATAATCAAAATCATAGAAAAAATAGGAACAGAAAACAGATATGAGCGAAATTATTACTGCATTAAAAAACACAAAAAGCAAGTATTACACAGCGACTAGCAAAAACAGTCTGAGATGAACACAAACCAGTTCTTTCACAAGCTTACTATTTTGCATTAGGATTTGTAAAAATTGTAGATTTCTCTTGCAATTTTGGGATCATCTTGCGGTTCAAATGACTCTGTCCATACAATCAATAACACAAAACGCAATAGACACTTCTCACGTAAGAAACACATTGCAAGATGCAAACGAATAAAAAATTACAATGCAAAACTGGCTAAAAATAAACTGTTAGGTGATCAAGCTCAGTTGGTTTCAAATTTTATTCAGAGTTTTTCGAGTAAAATTCTAACCCCAACAGAGGTCATTGCCCTTGGCAACGGACTCAAATTTATACCAACCCCACCTAAGCCAACCTATCACACTTTGCTCAGATACATGTCTATGCTATTTAGGAGAATGCGTATCAAATATCTAATGCGTGATAAACAATCTCAACAACATCCTTTCAAAATGAAATCAACATGGAACCCACCAGACTCGCATAACAGTAGCCTTGAAAATTACATTGAGGCAACCAAAGTTGAGATATCCAAAATTACTACCAATGAACCCAAACAAAACATGAATACAACTGACTATATATATGAAAGCTTTCATCAACTAAACAATGAGCAATACTATACTAAAATTAGTTGTAACGATATCATAGTTACAACGAATTTGATCCATGAGCTCATTACAGAAATGTACATTTTGGATTTAATCGATTTTTATACTAAATTGTATAATGAAAGTAATAACGTCGAACATCAGCACCATCACACTAGTGAATGATCCAATTACGGATAAATTTGAGTGCTGTATCGACATAGGTTTTCTTCGTATTCAGTTTCGTATTCTAATATTGTTTTCGTGTTTACTTCTATCTGGATCACACCTGAAATATTTTATCATGGAATAATACGTCTGTTACGTATTTCGTTAGCTAATGCAATACTGCCCTCAGTCCATAAGATGTTCGTCAATCCACCACCCCTATCGATAATAAATGAATTGTTTGAGACAGTTTATAGAGAAATACAGCAGAAAGTCATTGTGAAAGAACTGTTAAACAACATAGTTGAAGAAATTGTTGAGGGAAAGGATCAATAAAAATCATTCTTTAAAAATTGTATTTTTTGTCCTGTCTTGTCTTGTTTTTTTCAAGGGGTCTAAAAGTTTCAGATTTTTTTTTTACATGCATAGTCATAGAATTTTTTTTTCACAACCCCCCCCCCGATATCAAATGGTCCTTCCCTAATAGCTAATAGTTCACAATATTGACCATACGTCGAGGTACTAGCCCGCGAACGTAGTGGTTGTATTCCCCACACGATAGTTCTACGACTTTTTTTCCATTTACATGTAATATTATCGTTGATCGACAAAAATATTCATAAATTCATACCGTCAGTGAAATACGTTATAGCATTCCTTAAAGCCACCAGTGTTTTTTTCTTCCCATTGCCCGATTTGGACGCTTGTTGTTTTTGTTGATCATTCTCTGTCAGGGGCATGGTTGTTCTGTAACATCAGCAAACCGAGAATCTGTAGAGAAACTAGCATAGTCCGGGAATACCATTCATAAATCAAGTTTTCTTAGCGTAAAGTAAATCAGTCAAAATCGCGTGATTTAAAAACAGTAAAAACATAGCAAACCATCTACAGTCAAAATCAGACCGCGGTTACAGTTCAAATCTCGCGCAAGTCTCGCATGAACTTTGACCTCCCGGAAAAACTGGCTTCCGCGTTGTGTCGTCACAGAAAGCGCTGTCTTCCGGGCTAAGAAAAGGCAGTCGGCAAATACAGCTACAGTGATTAAACACTGGATCATCGGCAATAGTTCGCTGGGTTTTATTTTCGCCGATGACAGCCAGTTAAAGTCGCTCAATAAAAAAACAGTGAATAAACAACGTTAAACATAAAGCATGCAAGCGCACTGTTTCTATCACATCACCGTGAAATTAAGACCTGCGAAACGCCAAAACCACTAAAATGTGAGCACAGCGAATATATTTTACTTCTACAGTGTATATTTCTGTCAGATAATCATGCATCAGCTATTATTCATTCTTGAAGTGACTCGTGGGCTCCAATGTGGTGCGCCCTCTTTCGGTCATTCATTTCATGGCTTAGATGTCATTTTGGTCGCCAAAAAAGTGCGTGAATAATAGCGTCAAAGTCTTATACAGGCAAAACATCGCATTTGAATGTAAATACGATGTATAATTTTGAGAAAAAACAAAGAAAAACGACAAAGAAAAAGCCTACGGCACGTGGTATTCC